AAATATCGATCTCTTCCAGTCAGTTGGCCAGCTGGCTGTCCTCCAGATTTCCTGGCACAACTTAGTGAGCACATCCAGGGCAGCGTCTGTTTGTTGAAATAAATCAATTGGTATTCTGTCAACTCCTAGAGACTTGTTTTTTGCCAGTTCCTTCATAGCAACTTGAATTCATAGCTATAGATGAAAAAATATGAATACTTAAAGAATATTGGATGCATGTATAAATACATATTAAAAACCACTAGTAAAAATATTACACACAATCAGTACAACTTACTTTAAAAACATTATTTTGGACTAGCAAAGTTTCTTCACAGGTTATTTTAGTTTCTCTATAAAGACATGCCTATTCAATTTTGTTTATCTCAATTACAGTAGAACAAGTGACAACCCTTACCAAAGGCAGCATACCCCTATTACAGTCAGTTCTACCCTGGACTAGTATTCTCAGAGTGTTAATCTTTATGGGAAGAGACTGTACATTTTCCTATGTTGCTCTTTGTTTAGAAGTTTCATGCACATATATTATACTATCTGGGCTTCTTAAAAGCAGCATAGAGAATAAGGACAGATTCTAAGAGTTAGGGAAATTCTTTGGCCTAAGCCTCAGACCCTTCATTGCTAAAAGAGGAAAACTAATACCATACTATCATGAGTATTAACTGAAACAATATTGAGAAAGTATTTAAAACAGCAAGTATTGAACTTTCTTTATTAAAATATACATATAATAAGTATATGTCACTTTGTGGTTGTGGCTGAGTACTCTCGAGTCAGAACTGAGATTGCCCATCTGTGGAGCAGCTGGTGGATTTTAACTGCCTGCCTTCCGGGTTGCAGTGCAATTTCTTACCACTAGACAATCAGAGCTTCCTAAATATGTCACTTTGGAGTTTACAAATTCATTTTATGTAATTTGTTTTTGATTATTACATGCATTGACTACTTAGGTCTGATTTTATTTGTATTATTAAGTTATTCACATAAATAACCTAAGAAGCAAGTATTTTTGATGGTGAAGTACCAAATGTCTGGCTAACCATGCTGCAAAATCTGAGGCTTGAACTCTTGATGTGTGAGTCTACATCTAACATAATCCCTACTATGCCATGCTATAGTTTTAACTATCTTTTTGGACACACTTACCAGTCCTTACTAATAAAAAATGTATGTACTCATACATATCAGAGGTTGAACACTGATTCTCCTACCAATGGCAGATATTGTTGGATTTTAAGTGCTAGCCTGGGAAGTGAATATGGTTAAGTACTCAACTACTAGTTAAAAAGCTAGAGGTGCCTTAGAAGAAAGGATTGGTGATGTACTTCCTCAAAATGACAATCTTGAAGACCCCTGTGGAGCAATGATACTTTGTACATATAAAGTCAACCTGAGTTGGAATTGATTAAGAATGTGATTGTTGTTATGTGCTGTCGAGTCACTTGCGACTCATAGCAACCCTATGTACAAAAGCCCTAAACTCCCCTCTGTCCTGTGCCACTCGCACTGTCTCTGACACTCCCACAACATGTACAAAAGAACGTGATTAAGAAACAGTAAGTGGGCTGGTCAGTAATTATTCACAGTAAAAAGTATGTTGAGCTTGTTTGGTTCAGGACAAAAGTTACTTGTTGAATTGTATTTCCATAAAATGAGAAAGTTACCAGTTGGAATCCACCAGGTGCTCCACCAGAGAATATTCACCATCTCAGAAACTGATGGAGGGTTGCTAGAGTCTGCTGGATGGCAGCAGCTTTGGTCTTGTTTTTTATATCCTCATTGGGCATATGGCTCTACAGGACAGTGTATTTGAACTTTCCATTGTATTTTCCCGTGGCTGAATTTACATGTTGTATCATCAATAGGAGGGCAAGAGTTTTGAGAGCAAATTGAGAGATACATTGGCCCAGCAAAACAATGGTTCTCATAAAGCTGTGCCTACCTTTATCAATTTACATGCTATGTATTAGAGGGATGGGCAATGACTAAGGATGGCAGAAGAAGAATTGATGCCTTTGAGTTGTGGGCAAGGGGAAGAGTACTGAATATACCATGGATTGTTAGGAGAACAAAGAGGTCTGTCTTGGAGAGGTCTGTCAAGGAGTTTCTCCTTGGAGGTAAGGATTGTAAGGATTTTGAAGATCTGTCTCATACTTTGGGCATATGGCCAGAAGGGACCAGTCCTTAGAGAAGGACCTCATGTTCAAGGGTGACGGGACAGGGCAGGAGAAGGCGGGCAGGAGAAGGCGACTCTGGACAAATAAGATGGACTGACAAGATAAGGATAACTGGGACAATGGATCAGGACAGGGCAGGGCTCAGAGCTATTGCACACAAGGTTGCCATGAATTTTAAGGCACAACCACCACCACCTCTATCACAGCTTTCTTTACCATTACTAAGCTCAAAGTTCAAATTAAGTGGTGACTTTTTCTACTGAAGACTACCACTCATCTTTCCAGGTTAGCTGGGAAAGACCAGCAGCTTTGTATGTAGATCTAAAAACTCTGGTCTTCATTGCAGATGCACTAAGACTATTCAGAACCTGTCCTGGTCACTGCTTGTAATAAAATGTTAAAGAATTTGTCTTGGAAAAACTACCCGGAAGAGGCAGGCTTGGTAAATACTAATTTATAATAATTTCTTAGAACAAATAATTCCTGTGGCAGGCACAGTGTTTTATGTTTATTAGTTCAGCAATAAGCAAATAACCTCAAGAGCTCCTATTATTTGATTTTATGGATGAGGAAATGGTGGTTTACAGAACGTGTCGAGGGTAACACACTTTAAAGTGGACCAGAACCCGTGTGGCCAATCTCCTAGGGCTCTTAACCCAACTGTCTCTTTCCCTTTGGGGTCTGCACTTGATCTATCACAAAGTAATTAAGGAGTGGGTATCGCGTATATTTCATTAGGGCCCCGGGAAGCCCCTAGTCCCAGGCGCACTTGCCCTGCAAGCCTCTGCGAAAGACAGCGTCGTCAAGGCGGTCGAGGGCACCATGTCGTGCCAAGCGCACCGAGACGCCTCCGAACCTGTCCAGCTCGCCCTGCAGCTCGAACACTCCGGCCGGGGGGTCCGCTGCGCAGCCAGGCCTGCCTGAGGCCGCGCGGTGCCCCGCCGAGATGGACGCACGGCGCGCCCGGGCCAGTGCAGAGCGCCAGCAGCTGCAGCTCAGCAGCCCCGGCATTGCCTCTGCGACTCGAGCAGCACTTCAGGTTCAGCCCGGAGTCACCCTTCCTCCGCCGAACCGCTGCCGTACATGATGGAAGAGTGTCACCAATTCTATAACTTGGCTTCCAATCTTTGCACCGTTCTTCCTAAGTGACTTCTAAGGGGTTTCCACCAATTAGCCCCTGGGGAAGGTGAAGAGAAACTGCCTTCTTTTCCCTTTTTCTAGGTAAGTCATCGGGCGCTTGTTTAGAGGTGGGAGAAACCAGGCTGGATTCGAAAGTTTACACTCTGAACTCCTTGGGTTTTT